GGCCACTTGTATCCTCTCGTTATTGGAGTGTATAATAGTGAACAAGGACTTGTGACACCAGCATTGATAAGCCTGTGTCAGGGGAATGACAGCACAGGAAAAAGGATTTTCACCCTGCTTGATGATGAGGCAAAATTACTTCATCGTTGGGCAAACCTGCATGGTCTTGTCATCCCACATTCAAATGCTGGTTGTGAATGTGTATTCAGCACCATGCACACAAATGAAACGGCATTCCGTCCGAACTTACAAGTAGACACCCTGGAAGCTTTACTTGTCCAGAAGAGCACAATGTACACCCCTTGTCATAAGTACAAGCCAAGCAAACAGTTGCTTCATAAAGCGAAACAGGTGACCTACTAATCTCTTCATAATATAAGCACAGGTATGTGCATGTATGTTATATCTCTTTAATGTGATATACTTGTAATTCATAAAAATTGTATTATGCAAAGTGTTTGATTTTCAACAGGTTTCATGTTATGTAAGGAATTTGCTGTTTTCAGCAGGTATCTAATGGAAAATTACCCTTTTTCAATTTTGAATGTTGACATCTCTGCAACTGATCTACTTGGTGATATTCGACATGGAGGACAAGATTATCATTGGAGAGGTAAGAACCATGGGCATTATACAGTTCCACATGACAGTCACGGATGTCCATGCTGGACAAGAAGGATGTAATGGACACCAGCAGCTACTACACTCCACTTCATGGTGTAGTAGAGAAGTGGATGGTAGATCCAAAAGAGCTGTTGGATGGCAATGCTGTCAAGTTTCATGATTTTGTACCATTCAGGAACGAAGTGCACTAATCTCATTATGCTGTGTTCGACAAAGACATCAAGTTCCATACCAAAAAGTATTATTTTTAACAATATATTTGTTTGTACATAAGAGACAGCTAGAGGACCATCTGCCTGGTGGAAAGTACCATAGCACCTCCACCAAGCAACAGCTACCTGCCCAAAGGACAGAGTAGCAGAGCATGTTTTCGCTGGTATTGACCCCGAGAAGAGAAAAAGTCGAAACATGTCGGCACTGGCCATGCAAAGGTCCTACTGTAGTCCCAGAACAACACAACGCAGCACATTGATGCCCGTTCTCCACATGAGCAAAAAGCCCTTATCAAAAAAGGCTGCTCAAAATAGAAACCACATTGCAAAATTATACCCAAGACAAGGTAAAAAACATAAAAGCACTTCGCAATCAGGAAGTTGAAGAATGAACGAGAGTCTGATGTGGTCGCAAAGCGAACGGCGTAGTATATATTGATGCCCATTCTCCACAACCAACAGCGAGAAACCCTTATCAAAAAAGGTTACTCAAAATAGAAGGCATAATGTAAAATTATACCCAGACAAGGTGAAAAACATAAAAGCACTTCCAATCAGGAAGGAATTGGGAGAACATAAGAGATGTAGATATGCGTGGCAACCGTTCTTTCAATTGCTCTCCTGGGTATTAAAATATGCCAAGCTCAAAGCTTAATACTGGACCAGTTTCCTCGGTCGGACGGTGATGGTCCTGCGTCTCAGGCGAGTCAAATGTACTGCCAGGAACCTGCTGCCGCCACACCGCGCATACCAGGTCTGCCTGGACCAGTAGGACTGACGGGACCTTTCATGGAGTCAAAGGACGATGAAGGTAAGCCAGAGTGAACTGATTCACCTGGGCTTCGGAGGAAAAAAAGACATTTATTATTTTGTCCCCCTTCTTTGTAGATGCAGATATTCGTGGCAACCGTTCTTTCAATTGCCCTCCTGAGTAACTCTGCCAAGCACAAATTTTGTTTTTGCCCCAATTCAGTTACAGCTTCCCTCGGACGGTATTCCTGCGTCTCAGGTGTGTCAAATGTGCAAGGGAGTTTTGGGACTACATTGGCAAAGTAATTGGCTGCTAGAAAAACTGTGCCTAGTCTTGGTGTACCTGACTATGCCAAGCAGAATACCACACTGGTAAAGAAGATCCTGCTGTACCTTGGAGAGACACAACAGAGAAGTGGAAACTCACAGAGAAGGAAGCTATCCACCATTCTCGGAGTTCGTGAAGTTCATACAAAAGGCATCAGACAAGGCCAGCATTCCGGAGTTGGAGGGTTTAGCCAAGGCCGGAGAAAACCAGAGATCAAGTGGTCATGGTACTTGTTCTCCATCAGAGCACAGCAAGAAAAATGCAGCGCAGTCCTTTGCGACGATGAGCATTTCAAGATGGGGGACTGGGGGCAGAAAGTGTTTTGAAGATCTTAATGACTTATTAGGAGCCTCATCCCAGAAGCATCAAGTGCTCCCAAAGATGAAACCAATCAAGACTCAAGTTCCCTCCCTCATCTGATCTAGGGATAGCCATCACTCTGATTCAGATGGTAAATCTCATAAACAAAGAGATTCATAATGTGGGTCAGACTGGAGAATTAAGACCGGATCTCCTGCAGCAGCTTGGTGAGACGGATTGAAAGTGGTTTTCACAAAGGCTACAAGAGGTTAAGAATAGGAAGGCAGTCAGCCCTGCCATTTCCTCCAGGTTGCACCTCAGAAGTTACTTGGAGACTAAGGACGAGCTAAACCTAGTCGATCTTAAAGAGATCCTCCAGGCTAACTATTGAGAATGTGATGCAACAGAGAGATACAAGGACTGTCATCAGCATCACAAAAGGCTCATGAGTTGTCGCAAGATTATCTTGTGAGGACTCTTTACCTACAACAGAAGATCTTGAAGGTCTCCAAGGATGACACCAAATTGACATACATGTATGATCCCAACCATTATTTTTCTTCACTCCTGGTACACTAGGTTTAAAAACAACAAAATCATGACTGATCTTAAGTCGCTTCTGGTCAACCCAAATACCAGCGACAAAATGCTTTTCGGAGAGCTGAAAATTGCTGGAGAGAGGCAGATTGTGCCACTCACTGGCAGAAAAAAAAGAACCCATCTCTAAATTAACCTTAAAAGGTCCCTGCTAGTTATCAGGAGAAAATATCAGTACACAACCAGAAAAATCACCAGTGTAGGCAGCATGAGCCAGCAATTAGCACGCATTACCTTAACAAGCACTATTTTATTCGACGCAGTATTGGTAAAGAAGTTGGTGTAATAATGTCCCATGGTTACGAGAGAGCAACAAGCGGGTTGTGACTGCAGTGAAGGTATTGCTGAAGGGAAAGAGGCACAGGCTGCAGAGGCCACAACTGTCCTGGTACAACTCAACCTGCAGAGTATAAAAACAATTAAAACTACCATGATGTTACTGAAAGGGTCACATACCTTATGTAATATGCGAGTAGGACACTTACATATGGATTGATAATCTCTGAGATAAATTTGATATAACCACATTTGTCTTCAATAATATGAGCAAATATAGGTTTAATCTAGTTCCCTAGAAGTGAAAGAGTTCTGAAGCTCCACTTCTGATTGGTACGAATAAATGATGCTGAAGAGTCTTTCCCTTGAACATCTGGGCAGCAGTCTGGTTGGAAACAAGACCGAAAAAACCCCACAGTGAAGCAGCACAACTCCTCTTATAGCTACAGTCCATCATTTGCAGCTATCCAAAAAGTAACTTTATTGAAAGATAGTAAGGAGACTAAACTCCCTGTAAAATTATTCTTTCCATCAAGCTGTCATTTTGAAAAAAATCAACGAAAGAAGGGCTCTCCAACGAAGACGCACCGTTGGAGATTTCCGTTAGTAGTAGGCCCGATTCAAAACACGATTCAGCAACTTTTGATTTGAAATCGAGATCCTTAAATGCTTTTTTTCTTGAAATATATAGCTGAAGCTGAGCTGAATTTTCATCAGGTTAGTTTCAGCACCGTTCTTTAGATTTTGAGCACTTTTGTTGCTTCAGACGAACAAAATGCAGCAATTACAAATGATGGACTATACCTTTAACAAGTTGTCCTTTCAAGTGTGTTGTCAAGAAGCACAATAACGACTGTCATTTATAAATACAGACTCTTATTAATACAAACTCAACCAGACCTAGCCAAAATGTTTGTTATATTGGAATTGTGTAATAAGTGGAGTGCTGGTCCTATTCAATGTTCATGTACATGTACACATAAATGCACAGTCAGGACCAATGATTTTATGTTTGCTACAACCAGAATTTGTTTGCATTAACAAGAGTCAACTGACCTGAGCTGATACTTAATGACAAAAATATGACAATAACAAAGTGGAAAATGACACATTGTGAATTTGAGGATTCTTATTCCCATTCAATTTTGTGCATAAACTAGCGGGATGCCGCACTTTGCGTGGCACCCATTGGTGGAGTCGTATATTTTTTTGCAGGTTTTAATAAGTTGGCAGTGGAAATAAATAACAGGGTAAATAAATAAAAATCTGGGGCAAATCGGCCAAGAGGCGACTTGGTACAATCACCTGACCAGACATACATTTTCTTTGTCTTTGTCCGATTAATCCCCCTAAATATCTGAATCCCCTCAAGCACACCGGCTTCAGAGAGCCTACCTTTGCAATTAGCATCTGCTATTGAAAATCGGAAGTGGGAAAATCAAAATTTGGAGAAAAACTTGACAGATTTATCAACGAACATTCATCGTATGACGTTGCTGCCCTGTGAATCTGAAAAAATGATAAGTGCGCCCTCAATTGATACATTTTTGAGAAGGGGTTCAGGTTTCTGAAAAAAAAAGCATACATATTCATATCGTAGGAATTTGTACGATCGACATTTAAAGTGTATTTATTACCATGAATGCTGTTTTTTTCATAGAGATAATGTAATATGTAACTATTCAAAGTCTGAAAGAAACAAATTTGTCAAAAAAAACCAACAAAACAAATATATCATTTTTTTGACGTGCCAATAGTGACTTCAGAGGACAGTGAAATTAGGGCATATATATGGGATACAACCACATATCTATAGCGTCTCCATTGCATTTTGTGGTTCCCGCACACTCTTTGGGTCTTTTACAAAAATGTGACACATTAGACATCAGACCAACAAGACAGACAGACAGACATCAGACACCGTAGGATCTTTTGATATACAATGTACATGTATTTAGAGACAGAAAAAATCAATATATACAAACCACACTGATATATACACACAAATTCAACCAATCATTAGAATTAAATTTCACGCCCAGCAACAGGAGCTATTAAGTTCCAGATGTTTTGGATAGAATTAATCTCAAGACTTGAGAATCTTTCCAATACTGAATGGCCCCATTTCCTGGACTGCGAAAAGTGCAAGATCAACACAAAACTAAGTACAGGGGTAAATTCTTACAGTAGCCTAATTTGCAGCAATAAACCTGTCCAAGTAAATAAATATGTGCTGCTTATGGCGGTCACAAAATTCAGTTTTCTTCAATTTAGATTAACTTGGTGTTCAAAGGTCATCAAGCACCATAAACACTCCTGTTACGCAATTTTGCAGATCCTGCATCGTATAGATGTGCACGATTTCATACAAGTAAGTAGATGATATACAATATATTGCAAAGATAAAAGTTACTGCTCAGTCCCATGCTGATCTTGGTCCTGGTCCTTTCCTCGGGAACGACTGAAAAATAAAAATTAGGGAATGATCAGACAAAAATGAAAAACTTTGTAAATGAAACCACTACAGCAATAACTTCAGATGCCTTTTTGTCAAATTAAATGTTTTGAAGGGGGGATGGGTGAGACAAATTGATCATTCTGGGGAGTGAGATTGGAATCATTGGAAAATTGTTATGTGTTTGGAAGGGTAATATATACAGTATAAGATGATGCAGATGCATGATGCATTTATGCAGATGATGCCACTAAATCAAGTGAACATTGTGTAGGCAGAATAATGCGTTCCTGCTGTCCCAAATCAATTATAAAACCAATTGGCAGCCACTTGACTGCATGTCCTCCATTGATAGTCAAATTCTCTTTAAAGCTGTTTACAAATGTTTTACTGTTTGTACAAAAAAGGCATTACAAAACACTCTTATTCGCTAAAGCCTACTGCGTTGTCTCTATACCAGGGATGAAGTTTACTTAGGGGCCGTTCACAATTATCAACATTTTCACGAGCGTACAAACCGTACGCTGGGGGGGAGGGGGTTCATGGCCGTTGTACGTTTTTTTTTTTTTAAATGTCGATATGTTTTCTCGTCCGTTAATGCCCGCCTAACCCTTTTTTTTGGAATGTCGATCTGTTTTCTCGCCCATCGCCACAGCCGCAACCAGTGCCGATCGAGCACTTGCCGAGCCGGTCGCGCCCTGCGCCAGGCCCCGCATTGCATCCCATGAACGTATTGTGTACAGCATTGTCCTACACACGTACATGAAAATGTACGACCGGTGTCACATGAAAATCCAACTCCCATGAAAATCGGACCCCTTTTATTGGTTAATCCCTCGCACGTGACAGGTCACTCTCCCCAAACGATCCTGATCCTAAAAATAGCATAGTATCGTAGTCACGCGTGCGCACTACTACCAAGGAGTCCACATTGCATGGAGTCGGATATTCACGCTACACCGGTTGAACAACACCGGTACTAGCAATGGCGGACAATAAAGTCTAGCTGCGATGTTGACTTGGATCAATTGTTGAAATTCCTCATTCGACAAGGATGAATTGTCCACAAGAATCCGACCAACAAATACATGGAGTTTGTAAATGCTTTTGTGTTTGTGAATGATCAACGCAAACGAGCAGATGTCGTGTGTGAGGGCCAGAGATTGTGGCGGAATGCAGACCGTGAAAGGCTGTTCGACGAAGTCACATGCAAGTGTCTATGATATATAGACTTGCGTGAAAAAAAAAAATCAAAATTTTTTTCGTACACTTTTAGGGGGGAGGGGGGGGTGTCTTAAAAAAGTGTACGCTTTGTACACTTGTGAAAATGTTGATAATTGTGAACGGCCCCTTATATGACTCATGACTCAGACTCGGACTCGATTCTGACTCGAGTCCCATTTTCCATGACTCGGACTCGAGTCATGATGATGAATGACTGAGACTCAACCCTGCTGACTGTCAGGGAATTGTGGTGGACTCAACTACATCTCTGCTCCATACCTTAGGCTGGTAGTCATGGAGTGACATCCGAGATGCCTCTTGTCGTAGCATCTCCTCGTAGTCTCGCTCAGCTTGTCTCTCTGCCTCAACCTCCTTAAATTGGAAGTCCCGGGCTGCTTCCTTGTGATGCTGTCGCTCCGTCAACTGATTTGAAAGACAGAAAAAAAAGTCCCAATGGATGAACATATTGGAGGATGTTAGTTCCAGTCAATGACTGGGTACTTCCCCTTCCCATCAAAGTCCAGAATAGCTCTGATGGTAGAGCTCTAGAACAGCTCCACTTCAAGGCAGACTGTAAACCGAAAGATATTAGAGGGCGCCCTTTGAGGTTAGAGGGCACCCTTTGATGGAGTGACACGAAAGAAAATTTGCTCCGTTTAAATTCATCCGTTTACACCAACAAAATCGCCTCTAATCCTTGCGAATCTTTGACATTGATTTTTCCAACCAAAGAAAGTTACTATATTTAGCCTTCCTACCGCTTCTAGTGCAATTATGCCTCCCAGAAAAGAGAAAAACGGTCAGTAATGACAGAGTCATCTACACCATCAGACAGTACATGCACAACACATGCTTCACTGGATGATGAAACACAGACACACAAATCGCCCATGATTGCAGAGAGTTCTCTGAAGGCTGCTCTTCAAAGTGAGTTACGAGATCTGAAATTGGGAATTCAGGTAAAACTCGACATTGTGATATCTAATCAGCAATCACTCATGCGTAGAACGGATAACATGGAATCATGTCATTCAGAGATGGACAAATTGATAGAGTTTACTTCTGAGGCCATTGTCGAAGTCCAGGCAGAAAACAAAGATTTGGTCTCCAAGCTGAACAAAATGTCAACGCAGCTCGAAGTTACTGAAGAAACAGTCGCTAGTCTAGAAGCGTCAGCCCTAAGACTTGAAAGGTACTTGAGGAGTTACAACCTCAGATTGGCTGGAATTCCTGAGCAACAAAGCCCCTGACTATGTCTACAATAAAATCAAAGAAATACTCAAGAATAAGTGCGTTCTTGAGCCTGAAATTGAAAACGCTCATCGCTCTGGACGTTCATCTGGATCATCCGGCAGACCTCAACACATTCTTGCAAAATTTGTCTTAAGCCTAAAACGTCAGGCAGTGATACTTCGAGCCAAATCATCCATTTCCAGTTGCGTTATCTACTTAATTGAAGATCTACTTGCTGACGTAGCTACCAAAAAAAAAAAAAAACTGCGAGAGGTAATGCACAACGCTTACATGACTGGCAGGAAACCGGTATTCCGCAACAGTCAACTGTACATCAGTATGTGTATGTGATGTAATTGTTGTAGCTTAAATTAAATGAACTAGTTAATTATTTAATTAATTACTAATTAAGTGGGTTCACTACTCGACAAGCTTTGCTTTTTGGAGACCCCCATCCACATTATTGTGATCTTATGATTTTCTTGGCATATTGTTTTGTATTATGTGGTAAATAAAGTTAGATTGATTGGAAGTTAGATTTACTGATTGAACAGCATTCACAGATTCAAGCCCCGCTTTGAGCAGTAATACCTAATATTACCCAGGAGTATAAATGGGCACCTGTGAAGGTAGAGACCAGATTGCGCTGATCTTGAGCTGCTGCAAAAACTGGTCTCATGGCCAGATGAACAGGGGTAATAACTGTGAAGTGCTTTGAGACCTTTGGTATAAAGTGCTATATAAGCACTATATATGATTATAATCATTACCCTCTACTTTGAATGATTCACACATGTACAGTACAACAAAAGCATTGGGTCCAACAAAAGCAAGTGTAATCTACTTGCCTTCAAGATAGCACTGTCTTCATTCATGCCCCAAGCCTATCAGGTTTAAATCACACTATACTGGTTCTACTATTGTACCATCTCACCTGGTGGGTGACATGGGTGGCTTGTGCGTAAAAGTGCTCACCTCTCACCAAGGTGACCACGGTTTGAATCCTGGCCGCGGATCGCATGTCAGTAGAGTTGTGCGTTGGTTCTCTCCTGTGCCACAAGGGTTTTTCTCCGGGCCCTCCGGTTTGCCTCCCTCCGGAAAAATCAAACGCTTTCGATCTCAGGCTGTGCTCCGTGGTCATATATGGGTTGATGTGGCCGGCAGGCATAGGCGCCTTTACGCACCAGCGGCCCAACCACGTTGTAGCCGCATCCTTCGCAATTCAGCATACCAGCTGCGAGCAAGGATGATTAGCCTCCCAAATTATTATTATTATTATTTTTATTACCTGCGCCTCAATTTCCCTCTTAGTCTCTGCTTTCCGTCGTTCCTCCTCTGCCTTTTCCCGCTGCGTCATCTGTTGAACCAGCTCCATCTCACGGACCAGCTCTTCCCTCTGCTGTAAGGATTGCTCCTGACGTAGTCGGTTCTCTTCCATGCGGGCGTCAATCTGCGCCTGCTGACCCTGTAACACCTGTTGCAGGTAAAAAAATTTAAAAGTTAGTGGGCACTATGTGTCTACAAATTTATCTAACAGCAGATGTTGGTGGAGCACCGGAACGGCAATCCGGAGAACATAGGTTCAAGCCCCACTCCTGTCAACTGCCGTATCCTCTGTGAGTGATCCCCTTTTGCTATTTCAAAAGTTTGTATCATTGTTATTGTTGCTAGCACTGACAAGTAGGGCGTTATCCATGGCTAAATGACATATACAGGTTTATAGCTTTTGACTAGCGCTCCCTGAATGAAGATGTTGACAGGATGGGCAACCGCCAACATAGGGCTGAATAGCTCAGTTGGTGGAGCACTGGAACAACAATCCAGAGATTGCAGGTCCAAGTCCCGCTTCAGTCAAGTTTTCTGTTCAATTTTAAAATAATAAAATGCATCTAGTGAATTGCACTGTGTGATTTATTTGAAAATTTACAACAAATGTGATACAGGAGGGTGGCATTAAGTGAAGCGAAAATAGCACATTTTAAATGATTAAAAAAACAAAACAATTGGCTGACTTGTATGACTCTTGACTTGGACTCGGACTCGAGTCTGACTCGAGTCCCATTTACCATGAAAATCAGACTCGACATGAAAATCAGACTCAGACTTGAGTCACAATCGCAAATGACTCCGACTCGGACTCAACCCTGCAGACTCAGACTTGACCTGTGTGACTCGGAACTCGACCAAAAATACTACCAGGGGTGTGATCGGACAAAAATGAAAAATCCATGAACTTCGGTTGACATGTATACATGTACATGTACAGTATGTATTATTGTACATGTACATGTATTATTGTACATGTACTTGTATAGATGTACATGTATATAGTTCGTCCTTCGAAATTCGAAGATGACAGCCAACATCTCCATACTAGTTGGTGTTGTGTGTTCGCAGATGGCTAATAAGTCCAATTCTAGCCAGGAAGCTACAGTCCTACACTGGACACACTAGGTTGGGGGTGGGGGTGGACACGTAGGGAAGCATCTAGCTGACGAGATTTTCGTTGCTGTCGTTTCAGCTCAGCCTCCCTGATGCGACGGGCTTCGAAGCTTGATGCACCTTCGTGTGATAATCTTCTCCATGCCGTTCGATCATGGGCATGTTCTTCCCAGCTACTCACATTGAAGTTGCATTGCTTCATGGTTGCTTTAAGGCAATCCTTGTATCTCTTGAATTGACCACCAGCCGATCTTTTGCCTGTTGTTAGTTCACCGTAGAAGATCTTTTTGGGGAGTCGATCATCAGGCATCCGTACTACATGACCTGACCAGCGAAGTTGAGCTCTCATGATCAAAGCACCTACACTGGGCAATTCCGCTCGCTTGAGGACTTCAGTGTCTGGGACCTTGTCTTGCCATCTGATGCGCAAGATCTTACGCATGCAGGAAAGGTGGAAGTGGTTCAGCTTTCTGATGTGGCGGCTGTAGGTTGTCCAATTTTCACAGGCATACAGCAGGGAAGTCAGGACTGCAGCTTGATACACACGCAGCTTTGTTTTCAAGCTTATGCCTCTCCTATTCCACAGACGCTCACGAAATCTTCCGAAAGCTGAGCTGGCTTTGGATATCCGATTTGTGATTTCCTGTATAGATGTACATGTATACATATACATGCACATATGTCCATATATAGGGCATGTACATTTTATACACTGTAATTTCTGTAATGTTTGCAAATTTTGTCGCTTCAGTAAAGAAAAAAATGGGGGAAAATTAGGAAAAAATGTCTGGTCATTAAATAATATAATCCATATGTGATTGATTCAATAATGTATTTTTCTGTGTGTGATGTTATTACTTCTGCATGTTTGCAGAGAGAAAGAAACGATTCACACACAAAAATATGAACGGTGCTTAAAAAGTTTATGATAATCTTACTTTAAACTCCAGTCCCAGGCTTCCAAAACATTTTTGAAATTTTGTGTTGGTGGTGGCTATTTTTCAAAGCACTACTGCAGCTCAAACTTATTTCCATCCACAGTGACACTTTATTACCAATTCTTCCAACCATACTCTTAAATTCCTTGACAAAATCGCGACAATAGTGACTCCAAGTCCAATGTGTTTGCAAATTGCTAACTCACGATCGTCACTGCACAATACATGCACAATACACACACATCCTCCACACGCAATACACACACACGAGGTGCAAACCCATTGAAAATTATTTTTAGTCTGGTCCTCAAGTACTCCACTGCGCACACTGCATTGATGTCTATCAGGTTCTTGACCGCACTGCTTATTAGACTTGTGTCACCAGTCCATCCATTATCGTAAATTAGGGCCTATTTCTCCAGAAGTTTTTGGGCGATATTTATACGGAAACAGAAAACGTTGGAAATCCGGAATCCGCTTAAAATTCCGGAATCCGCATAAAATTCCGCAGACGTTAGACTAAAAATCCGGAAAAATCCGGAAAAATCACACCCCTGTACTACTACTAATTTTTTTCCCCCATCAATATAGCTACAAATTAAATGAAGACGATCCTCTATTGAGCAAGTGATACAGTCTGTGCCTTGCAGAAGAAACGCATCTAAGTACTGTACATACACAGCGCGTGCACCTGCTTGTTTCCGATGTATTGATTTGGGAAATCAATGTATCGAAACATGTACCCCAGCGTCCACACTTGATATTGCGTATTAATGCAAGCTTGATAGTGTTCAGTACCAGATTATCTTCTCCAGACAACGGTGCCTTGCCTTATGGTTATACGTGGATTTCCAGTTCATTAAATTAGAGAAAAGCTGTGAAAAAATGGAAACATTTACACTGTGAGGTTTTAGCAGTGCCTAAAAATGTTTTTCCAATATACATATTAAAGGGGACTCATGACTCGGACTCGGGAGAGGTGACTCGGACTCAATGTTTGGTGACTCAAATACAAGTCTGCAATTCGGTACACTTTTATCAGGGAAAAACAGACTTGATATTAAAGTACAGGCAAAATAGGCCAGTCTGCTCACACTTTTTGACTTTTTTTTTAAAAATCACCCACTTAACATTTGGCTAAAGAGGACCATGTGACTCCATTGATTCCCATTCAATAAAAAAAATATGATTTAAGCACCACCGTATAACACTTATTCCAGTCCATGATGCTAAAGCTCTCACTTTTAACAGCTTATGCTCAAGGCAAGAGTGCAAATATCAACTGACCATCTTGACTTCTGTCAAGTCACAACTTCAGCAATTGCCAACATGGCTTTTACTCACAATTCACCCAGTTAAATAAGTCAATTCCGTGAGAACACAGACTTACCTCATGCATAAGTCTTTCCCTAGCCAGGCGTTCTCGCTCCCATTCATTTTCTCTCTTTTGCCATTCCCTGGCAGCTTCGTCCCTGTAGGAAGAAGAGAACAATTGTAAAGACTTCCAGTTACGCCTAGCAAAAAGTGGATCTGCTCCCACAAAACTGGGACAAACTTGATATTTATTTTTTATTTTTTTTACGTATAGGCATTTTTAATTTCCTGACAATTTCAGATTTTTTTGATGATGGCAGATATGGAAAAATTGTTACATTTGGGGGTATTCGATATAAAAACAAAATCATGGTTTTCTTACTAGATATCGACTTTAGTGAGCTGAAATCTTCAGGGGTGTCATTTCAGGCCTCTAGTCACCTTGTGTGTACTTTTGAGCAAATTTGGTAGAGTTGGACTTTTGTGCCAAAATGGACTTTGTCATTATAGTACATGAAACAAGCGGCACCAGACTAATACACATGTGGTGTAGGATGCTGCATCACAGTAGGTAAGCCTCCTGGAGATGGTCAGTGAGAGAAATGACAGTCAGTCTTATTCACAAATGACAGTCAGTCAATGAGTCAGTCAGTCAGTCAGTACGGTGCAAAGAGACTAGTAATAATAATAATAATTATGCGCATTTATAAAGCGCACGTAGCCACCAGTGTTGGTGCTCAAGGCGCTACATCATTATTACCCCTGCTCATTGGGCCAATGAAACATTCCAAAGACAATCTCAGCTCCCTGGGGAGTACACAGCTCGATGCTGCCATTTTGGCACAAAGCAGCTAAAAACAACCACAATAACCATCTCTGCCCTCACAGGTACCCAGAAGTAATGAGTGTCAAAGTGCCTTGCCCAAGGGAAAACGCACCATAACCCCAGGCTGGACTCGAACCCACAAGCTGCAGAATTATCCGCGGACCACAAATTCAATGTTCCAGTTCACGAGGCCACGGTCCTAAGCTAGCCCAGACAAACTTCATCAAAATCACAACAAAAAATCCTGGCGAATGATACTATCTGAAAGCATCCATCCCAAAATCAACCTCTAAGTTCTACTTACTTGTAGAGCATGTCCAGTTCAGCCTCCCGAGCCTTCTCCAGTTTCAGTTGTTCCTCCACCACCTGCTTCATCCAGGCAGCGTCGGCCTTCGCTTTCTCCCTTCTGGTTGTCTGGATCTGCTGCTCTTCCCCAGCTTTCTCAACCAACGCTGCCAGGATCTTCATATCAAGTTCCTGCATTCATGGGACAGAAGAGAGTCAACAGAGAGGTTTCGCATGCAAAACTGGGCCTTAGTTCATGGCTCTGCTAAACACAGAATTCCATGCTTACGATCACCATTTTGTGCTAACCGCACTAGCAGAGAAATTCTGTGCTAACCCTGTAAGCACAGAATCCTTAGTTAAGGGATGTTCAAATGCGCGCAGAAGCCAAAATTCCTCTTTTACACTAGAGTTTATGAATTTTATAACAAACGAAGCTAAGCCTCGCCACTACGCAGGGACGTGGCCTTGCCACTTCGCCTGCTTCAAATGTGTGCTGCCTGCTTTTTAGGCGAGTACCTGTTTCTCAAAGGATTGCCCGCTGCAGGAGTGATCAACCATAGCAGCCCAATTTGCTTGAGCAACAGGTTACCTTCAATCGAGGACCCCTATTGTCCCCTTTTTGTTTGTACTTCAACTTTTTAGGAAGACCTCCCATATGTTTTGTACACGATCGTCAATTGTGGACCTTCGGGAATTGGGGACCCTATTGTCCTTTATTGTTCAACGTCCCCTATTGAATGCAGAAACAAACTCACTCACACACACACGCAGGTTTGTTTATGGTGTAAATCGTTCCTCTTCCCTTTTCCTTTGTTTATACTCTTAACGTTTTTGCAACAGCTCTCATTGGTTTTGTACTCGTTTTCTAATGGTGGTTTTCCTCGATTTGGTTCCTGTCCTCAATTGACCAATCGCGGTAGAATCGCGTCAACGCAGCTTGTGAAAAATTGTCCAATCATATGATATACAAAATGGACACGAAACGTGCAACATCTGAGACAAACAAAACTTAATGTACAAAAAGTCCATAGGGTTGTCTAGGGGGCGTGGCCAACTTGCATACGGCGATATGTCAATTCATCAATGATGGCCAAGTTCACGCAAGGACTATAGTTGACCAATGGTTAACTAACGTTTGCCCGAACTCTGTCTAGTCGACGATGGTTGACTACGCTAGTCGACTATTTGGAACCAGCCTACTGGGGTTGGTTGCTTCGCTGGTAACCAATAGCCGCGCACATTTATAACGCTAGCAGAGAGCCAGGATCCAGAAGTTTTGCGATGACATTTTGACCAGCGTTTGACTAGAGACGTTCGCACGTTGCTACCAGTGCGCAGGCGTAAGGTACGTCACAAATCAACCACTAGTCGACTAATGGTCCTTGCCCGAACTTGGCCGATGTTGCACGTGCGTGTCCTCGATTTACACCATAAACACGCACACACACAACTTCCTATTGTCCCTCTTTTGTTTGTACCAACTTTTTAGGAAGACCTCCCATATGTTTTGTACACTATCGTCAATTGTGGACCTTTGGGAATTGTGGTTCGTGTTATCCTCTTTTGTGTAACGTCCCCTATTGAACACAGAACAAACTCACTTTTACACCAAATGCTTGGTTGTTAAAAGATAAGTTCAAATGTAAAGATAGAAGTACCACGGTATATAGCAAATTACTCAGTCAGTGCCATGCAAAGGTACCGTATGAAGTGGTATCTCTTACCAGTGCTTCTTGGACCTCCTTAGCCCTGCGTCTGAGCTGAACCTTGTGCTGTCTGGTCAGTGCCTGAGCCGTCTGGGATTTCTTGCGTTGTTCTTCCATGGCCTGCCGTTCCTCGTCTAGCTTGTCCAGCTCCCACTGGCGCTGTAAGAGATGGTCCTGCTCTTGCTTCAACCGTGCAGCCTGTCCAGCAAGAGAGATAAAGATACAGATAAGATTCATGATAAGTAAATATGCTAAAATTAGGGATGATGAAGTTTGGTATTTGACATTTTGGGTACTGCTTCTCTGCCTGTCCCTGAAAGTTCCTGACTTCGCAAGCGACCTCACACTTCACACGTGATAAACTGTGAATGTGAATGAACTCATGAACATACACACCCATTGGGCTTTTTTGAGGTTTCGCCTCACGCTTTGCCGTCGAGAGGCGGCTTTGCCGCAGTTGCCCGCTTTGCAGTCAAGAGGCATAATTACCTGTAATTACCTGTCGTATCCGATACTACAGGGTGAGTTGGAAAAAAAGCGGGACCCAAACACCAAAGTTATATTTCATAGTTAAAAAAATATGTAGCACCAAACATATTAATGACTGAAAAGCCAATTTAATAAGCTACTTTTAGATGAAAAAAATTACTGAAATTGCTCAATCCGTTCCAAGAATATCACCATTTAAACACAATGACCCTTAAAACTCTTTCGTCCAAAAACGCGATTTCAAGAATCGTCGTCACAATTGTCTTCAAACATCACTAGCGATAAAACCTCAGTTTAAAAGTTAAAATATTCATCAAATTCCTTTTGAAGGCCCATCTTTTAAGAAAAGAAGATTTTATAAATCATATTGTTTGCCTTACCAGGGTTGTTAATAAAGATATTGTGTTCTACAGTTGGTGACAGTTGTTGAAACAAGTATTCTGTGTCACTCTATTTGTTGTTCCAAACAGTCGAAACACACAATTAATTGCATAATTACCTCCTATAGTATCTAATTCTATACACCTCCAATACTCATTATATTGCATATTACCTCCGCCTCCCTCTGTCTCAATTCATTCATCTGCTCCTTCAGCTGTCCTGCCAGCTGCTTCTCCTCCCTCAGCTTGGCTTCCTGGACATGCCGTTCCTTTTCCAGGGCAGCCTGCCTGTCTCGTTCCATCTGCCTGTGTTCCAAGTGCTCTTCCCGGCGAGCTGACTCCATCTGCTCCCTCTGGGAATCTACCTGCTCGCCCCAGCCCTGGATCACGTGTTTCTTGTGCATATCAGACTCAATCTACGGAATGGATGGAATTGCTGGGCTTTCAGAATTTTGGTAAGTTTTCTCTTCAAAAGGGGGACTTTAAAAAATGACATATGACCCGGCCATGGTAAGGGTATTGTTTTCCTTGTTCCAGATCGCTTCAAATGAAATCTACTTCTTTTGGATTGGTCTCCGACTCTCCGATACCATTTTTCCAGACGAGGTGGGTTTTGAAAAGTAAAATTAAGCCTCTTGATGTACAAATATCTTTTTGATACAATCTCTATAAGGAAATCTGGCCAGATTTCTGACTCATACTTTGACATGCTGGCCAAGGACAATCTGCACTTGGGAAACAAATGCAAATCCAATGTCTATGAAATGAACAAAGTGTTTAACCGTGGCTAGGAAATTGACTTGAACAGTGCAACTTAAATGATTTGATTTAAAGTTACACATGTAGAGTTAAAGGGAATATACAACATTTGCAAACATCGAAAAATAAAACTACCAAGTTTTTACGAAATACCTTACTAGGATGTTGGTAAATGACAGTCTAAAGCATCCTGTAAAATTATCTACTGCTCCAACTTTACTGACTCATCTACTGCTCCAACTTTACACTTTTTTCAGTCCAAATTTTGTTTGCTATTGGTTACATGTTCATGAACGGGTGCAGGCTAGCTAGACTGGTTCCCTTACCTTACAATTTTTCGTCATCTATGAATTGATCCATTTTATCTTTAGTGGAGTCAAGGAACCAGACTACTTGAACATTTTTGTTTTTCTTGGTTTTTCCAGCATTTTCGAACACAAAACTTTAAACATGTCAGTGTAACAAAATTTGATCTATTATACTTACCCCTCAAATAGTTTATTTCTGAAAATTACAGCAAAAGCCAATGATGTACATTCCCTTTAAGCTCATATTCCTGTTGTACAATTGCACAAGTTGGAGGGAAAAAAAAATTGTAGGTGTTATTTACCTTCCGCAGATCTGGGTTGTTTTGTCGCCAATGGTCATACATCCGCTCGTCAGCAATCTGTGCAAATGATACCAAAAACGTAACATAAGGTAACATGGAAACTGAAACATTTCTCACCTGTGAGGAGTGCAGACCAGAAAATAAGCCCAAAACGTGATTAGTATGTCCTCAATGTTTTTGTTATTAGAGCATTTTGTGGGCCACAAACTTGAAGGTTTGAAAAATATATTGGTGGAAGCTGTGCACAGGACTGGGAGCTGGTATGATTCGGATGAAATTGCAACCTAGAATTGCCGTATTTTGCAATGGAGAGCAGGCATCATTGTTCAAAATGCCACAGGACTACTTTTAGGGATGATCATGTTCGGATGGAATTTTCTCCCAAAAGTCACTGGATTACCACCTGAAAGTTGAACAGGAAATGAAAGATGATGAAATAAGCTTTAGTTTCATGGGTGTCTCAAATACCTTGGAGAGTTGGGGGTATTTTTAATCATTTTTAGAAGTGCGTGTAATTATCACCGATGTCTTTGGAAATCGATTTACTGGTCTGCATTCTGCGAAAAAAAACAACACTTTGTTACACCCCCAATGGCCACGGGAGCAGCCGCTGCAGAGTGTTCATTAAAAAGACTGCAAAACTGCAAGAATAAAGACAAATGGACACTGGTTTAGCTTGGTGTGGTGGTCAATGTTCCTCACTCATCAAAGTCTTAGATCAGAATCACAAAAACAATAGTAACAACAAATGCACCAAATAACTCAATAAGTATGATTCGAAAATCGACTCTGGTATCGATAATAATATCGATTCTGTCCTGCTTCTGAATAAACATAATCGATTCTATCACCTAAATCGATACTGGCCATGTCTCAACCTCACTGTTTATCTCTAGTCCAGGACTGACTCACTTCTAATTAGTTATGCATGAGTGCTTCCCATCCTGTGCTCTAACTATCAAAGAATTCATGCACATGTACAATACATACATGTCATCTAGTAGTTCAGAATGTCCTGCAGTACATGTATGGAGTAAGCCAAAAAAAGGGGTAAAGTTTATAATAGAGAAATCTCTGTCTTCAATAAAATAAAGTAAAAAAGAGTAAGCAAAGGAATTGTTCTTAATTATTCTTAACAATCCAAGCATGAAACCTTGTCACAATTTCACTCTCCATAGAGTGGGACAATATAAAAGTTATAAATGTATATGTCAAAACTAGCTCTCAAGAACCTGGCAACTTCCGTCTAGTATATGCAAGTCAAAAGCAACTTGATATCTCTAAGAGCAGTCTCGACTAAACCTGGGCGGACAGTCCTTTCTTGTAAGTACCAAGTTACACAAAAATTGAAGGAAACGCCGTACCTGTCTGACTTATCTTTTCCATTAAAAGACAATCCAGAAATTAACAATGACTACACATAATTAGCAGGTAAAACCGGAAACATTTATGAAGGCAAAATTGAGTAAAGGCTAAAGTATTTGCCTCTGTACTCTGGCACACTCTGACCATGTGCTTTCTTAAAGACGAAGAAGCTAAGAGTTTAGCAGACTCTGGCATCACTTTTAACTAAACTTTATATCCTGACACCAAGTGTACATGTTTCCTCTCTTCACTTCCATAATCTGTCATCAAGATAAAAATGAAAAAGAATACGACATACCTGCAAGAATAAAGACAAATGGACACTGGTTTAGCTTGGTGTGGTGGTCAATGTTCCTCACTCATCGAAGTCTTAGATCAGAATGACCCGAGAACAAAGACCATCACACAGCCCTCCAGTGCCCCACAGGAAGTGACATCATATCCTGCCACATATACCCAACAGCTGTTTCCTGTGAAGGTGGGGTATCTCACATGAAACAGTAGTTGGTACACTCATGTACTGATAAAAATTATATGCAAATGTGGTTCCACGAAAAGTGGGGGAGGCAGTACATTAAAAGCTGATAGATCAAAAGAAAAAAGGCAAATAGTGTTTTTCAGAAGACAGAGGTTCGTATCAGTGTCCATCACAAGTCCTCAGAAGTCCATCACTCATGTTGTCTACCCCCAGATCAAGTCAGAAAGCAGACGCTTTTCAAAGAGAGTCTGACAAAGGCCTTTCCTTTGTTACTGTTCACCCCCTGTATTACTAGTGCCGAGATGCCAACATTCAAAATTGAAAAAGAGTAATTTTCCATCAGACACCTGCTGAAAACAAGACATTCCGTACATAACATGTAACCTGTTGAAAAATCGAACGCTTTGCATGTCACAGCGACATATGTTGCAGAGGGCATATTTTTCCCCTTGAAGAGATTTCACAACAAAGTCCCACTTGTTGCTGTACTCATCTTTAAATTTCTGGTGAATGAAGCCATCGTTGTTTGTTCTTCGACCAGCAAAATGAAAAACTGTAACATTCAAGTGCCACAGAAAAATGAGCGCGCATAACGTTGGGCGATTTGGTTTTACTGTCCGTAACTGGTTACCAACCTACTTCAACGTATTGCTTATGTGAAAACTTGGGAAACCAGACAATTATTTATTATGCCAAATTGGGCTCTTTTTCTTTGAGTGATGTAGATTTTGTGCACACACTACATGTCTAGGGCCAATGGTTTTCCGCAACGGACGGAATTCGCGGAATCTGCTCCTTGAAACGGAAAAACGGAATTTGAATCTGAAAAAAATAACTTCTGCAATTTTATTGATAAAAGAACATAATTTCGTTACATTTATTGAGTCCAAAACGAACTGTTGATGATTAATTGAACAGACGAGCCATATAACAAAAGAGCAGTGTTTATATCACGATTTTGGGGGGACAAAAACATTCAAGATCAGAGCAATAAATGCTATACGATCATTACTGTAGTAGTACGCGTAGTCAGTGTCAGTCCCGACGCACGCTGTAGCTGATGGATGGTCAGCGCACGGGTGAAAATCATCATGCTCACGGCACGCTCAGGCAGGTCTCTTCTGTTTCATCGGCAGGTTTATTCTCCGTTCAATCAATCAACCATTCGTATAACATCTAACTTTGGCTCTATTGAAATGCATGTTGTGCTTAGGTCAAAAAATCTACGGTAAACTATCCTATTTTGTTGCTAACGTTAGCGCGAAAACAAAATGGCGATCATGAATTTCGCTTTGGCCAGCTGATGTGCGTGACGTCATGGGATTGGCCTGTGCGGCTATTGCATGTTTCTTGCGTGTATGAGGTGGCGGTGCAGTATACAACTTGACTGTGGTGAAGTTAAATACTACGTCTGTACATTGATCGGCCGTTGATAAAATAGCAATTTTTTTTTGGGGGGGGGGGCAAGTTTCCCGCGTTCCAACCAAACAACTATTTCATTATCGTCTTGGAATTATTTTCTGTGTACATGGTGTATGTTTAAATGCCTTTTTATGTATTGAATAAACGTGAAACGGAATTTTTCAGCCTGAAACGGAATTTAGGATTTTTGAAAACGGAATTTGCACTTTTCTGAAATGGAAAAACATTGGCCCTACATGTCGGCGCTCTTTTATGCGCTAAAAATCGCACACCCAACAGTCTGATACCAAGTTCCCATTTTTATGCAAAAACAGGAGTCAAGATACTAAATGTAATACAAATTGTGCACACATTATTTGATTCAGGTAAAATCTAGGAAAATCCTAGAAAATCTATCAGGATCGTACGATCATAATCGCGGTGCACAAATCGTATAAATTACGTCTAAATCGTAAATGTCGGCATTACTTGTGACAACAACAGCGGTACACATTCTGCTTCAGTTAGGTTGTTTGGTACGTAATTTTCTTTGTTCTGCCAAACTCCTTCCATAATTTACCTGTTTTCTGCTGGTCTCCTTCTTGGTTTTCAGATCATCAGTGCGTTCCTTCATTTCTTTGAGCCGCTCGTAGTTACCCGGGGAAAGTCCCTTCAGCTCCGCTGCGTATCGCTCCCTCTCCTCGTCCAATAGTTGCTTGAGTTTGTGCCTGCGACTGCTCAGTCGTAACGCTAGTAGCTCACCCTCATCGCGTTTCTTGTAAGCATCCATACTACAATATGTATGTTTTGTAAAGACCGAGAATTAGATTTTATAAAAAGATATATTTCAATGTCGTCATTAATGTAAAATAATAAGCTTTTGCAGTGGACTGAACCTTTATCCTCTTAATGTTGTGCATCGGGTCGGGTTGACCAGGCCAAACTGACCCGAAACATTATACAATGTAGATATAAACTGAATCCAAACTGAAACCGTTCTGAACCCTCTAAAACCAACCTGACCCCCGACCTGACAAAACTTCAAGGAAAACAGACCCGAACCAACCCAAAACTGAACAGACCCGAAAACCCCCCGGAATATCTGGCTTAGGCAACTGTGTTTGCTTTTTGTGCCTTAGACACTTAATACCCGAGTCGCATGAAAATAGTCCTCTCTCAGTAACTGAATCATACCGTACGGCACTCACAAGGTAACCTACTGGTGGGCCCACACGTTATAGACCATGGGTGATAGACCTCAAACCATTTTGGTCGAACTGGGCACAGTGATTCTGCAATAAATATTGTTGGTTTCAGGTCAGGTTTGCACAACTCTACCTCCGAGATCCTTCAAAATCCACCGGGGCATTTAAGGACTTTGCCAGATTGAGGCATTTTGGTTGTGCCACTATATGTATACATATGTATTACTTTTTGCAAGACTTGCTTTCCCCATTGAATCTAGGTACAATTAAGATGCCAGAGGGTTCCTACACAGTGTTTGATTTTGGATGCTTCAGGGAGGTTAACAGCAAGAGTTACCTAGAGAGCAAGATTTTGGCCTGTCACTGTCAGGGATCCTGCAGAGATCTTTCAATGAAATGCCATGACTTTTCCCGGACAAAAATAGGGCTTTCCACGATCAATTCCAATACTGTTTCGGCATGTTAGGAACCTATTGACAATACACATGTCTGGTCATAACAAGGAACGTCCATGAATAACGTCCTACATTGACTGGGGGATTATGTTGACGCTAGTCCAAATGTGACCTGATGCTCCATTTTACAGCATCCAGTTATTCTCAACATATGTTTAGTATGTACTCTGAATAGTTGTTTTAGGATCCCACCACACAGTTTAACCCAAATCTCACCGGTAAATGTGGAAATTCTGGGCTCAATGTCGGACGAAGGCTGAGACTCCCATAGACCATGCATACCAGCTGCCATGATTTGGCCAAGTGCACCCTACTGTGTCAAAGTTCCTTCGTCCAATGCATGGCCAATGCATGGCTTCAGAATCCATGCACTACACGGTGATGCCTCCTTCTAGCCACACCAGTGAGCTACCTAGCTAGCTACAGAAGCAGCAGCATCACCGTGTAGTGTATGGATTCTTAAAGCTACAGTCCATCATTTGTAATTTGTGCATTTTGTTCGTTTGAAGCAACAAAAGAGTTCAAAATCTAATGAAGGATACTGAGCAACTAACCTGATGAAGTTTCAGCTAAGCTTCAGCTGTACATTCCGAGAAAAACAGCATTCTAAGATCTCAATTTCAAATTAAAAGTTACTGAATCATGTTTTGAATTGTTTTGAATTGCAGCTATACGCGACGTAGCGCACTGATCCGACGAATTATAACAACCGCGCGCGCGCGTGTGCGTCGTTCCAATACTTGTGCACGCTGCGCTGAATAACAAAACGAACTACTAATTTAAATTTTCCTACGGTGTTTCTTAAGAATCACCGTTGGAAATGCCTTCTTTCGTTGATTACTTCAAAATGACAGCTTGCAAGAAAGAATAATTTCACAGGGAGTTTAGTTCCCTTACTATCTTTCAACCAAGTTTGTTTTTCAACAATAATTACGCCAGTTACTTTTCGGATGGCTGCAAATGATGGACTATAGCTTTAAGCTAGCGTGAACAGGACGTTGATGCGTATACCATACAAAGCATCGTCATGAGGGCTAATATATCACCTGTGATGGAATGACTGATCGGAAGTCCAGGCTCTTTGCTTAGTGGTCTTGACGTCAGAGTTCTTGAAGTACTGGGCGTTGTTGCCCCACTGCTGCCGGAAGTCGGCCTCGTGGGTGCGCCTCTGGACCATCGCCCGCTCCTGGATGTTCTTGTACCGGGCCGTCCAATAGGCAGGCATTGTGGGCAAGGCCATTCTTGAAAAAATCTGATTCTGCGGCTTTACTTCCAGGAAAAGAGTTGAACTTCACCAAGACTGGGACCGCAACTGTATAAAAACGTGCAAAATTACTACTAACTTGTTTTACTCACCATTCGGCTAACTAATGCCCACACAACATGCACCTCAAAATGCTATAGTTACCGGTACAAGCATGTCTCCTGCGAAATTTGAGATATTAAATCTAATTTTTATTTTTAATTAAAATGGCAAGTTCACCTACTTTGTTCTGGAAAGGTTTGTGTGTTTCGCAAAGTATTCCGAGTTAAATGTAAGACATACCTTGCAGTTTACTTGTTTTTTTTTTTTTAATCATACGTTGACCAAAATAGCATAGCGCCCTCTATTTAAAACATGCATTATTCGTGTTGCAAATGCAAGAATTAACAACAAGATGGCACTGTTTCACTACACGACCATATCAAAATGTTACACTTACAGCTGAGGAGTGTTTTTCGTATTATCCACAATAAGCACTTTCACGGTAATGCGCTTGTCAATTGTAACCCCGGCCCCCCAGGACCCAGGGATAGCGGAGACTTGGGCCAGGGTGTAATTTTGTGAAGTGTTACAAACGTGTTACAGTCCCAGTTAAGTCCCTGCAGGGACGGGCACTTTTTTTTGGTGTAATAAATATCCAATTTTCCGAGAAATTTTTAAATCTTTCTGGAGCCCATATGCACGTGAAAATCGTCTGTTGATGGCAGCCATTTTGAATGTACGAAGCGATGACCCCAAAGCTGAGACGTCGCGCTTATGCAAATCGATCTTGTGGCTCAACAGGCGCACGAGTTGCGATGCGACGGCTGTTTCTTGTACAATCTCTCAACCGATAGTATTATAGCGCGCAGCCATACAGTATGGGCGAATCAATTGTACAAGAAACAGCCGTCGCATCGCAACTCGCGCGCCTAGCCTGAGCGACAAGATCGATTTGCATAAGCGCATCGTCACAGCTTTGGGGTCATCGCTTCGTACATTCAAAATGGCTGCCATCAACAGACGATTTTTGCAAATGGGCTCCAGAAAGATTCAAAAATTTCTCGGAAAATTGGATATTTATTACACCTAAGCATCCCAGAAGTAGAGACATCATAGAATACAACCATATGTAAGAAAATTTGCATAATTTTTTGAGAACCTCCTCAGTAGTGTGCGATAACCTGGTGTGTGGCCAGAGGTTCAGCGCAGCATACCGCGGCCACACTAGTGGGGCTGTCGAGCGCAATTTGAGTCCCCCGCGCAAGATTAAACTTGCGCGCGCATGTTTAAACCTGCGCGCACGCAAGTTTAAACTTCTGCGTGCATTAATTTCCTTGCTACAAATAGCGCACGCAAGTTTAAACTTGCGCACTACATAGATTTTCCCCATACATGCAAAGCCGCTAAACTAATTTTTTTTCTGGGTAAACTTATGCAGATTATGTAACATTATTTTTAAAGCAGATTTTTCTCCGATTAATAGCACCACTGTACTTCGTGAGACAATGCCTAAATGCCTTTTTTGAAACATTTTATTAACACTTAACAATATTATGCTAATGAGGTTGACTGTGTAGAGGTTCGGGATAAGGGGTGGTAATGCGAACAATTTATGCACTTTGCATTATGATGTGTATTACTGTTTACGGCTCATTAGGATTTTTGTTTAATAAACAACATATTTATTCATTAGGCCCTATGTCAAATTAATTAATTAAATTAATAAATTAAATCAATTAATTAAATCATTAATAAATGATCCAAGCAAACGCCGCTTGTGTACTTATTGATTGCTTGCCCGGTCCCCTCCCCGCCCCCTTAAAAAACTTCTCTGATTATAAGCACTGCTAAATCTCAATGTTTCTTTTCATTGACGCTAATTGAATTCCTCTTTTTATTTATTTCATTGTTCATTAATTTATTCCATTATTTATTAATTTATTTCTCCATGTACTCGTGTTTTAAGCATTTTTTTTCTTCATCAATCAAAATCCCGCCCGCAACCGCAAAGTTCTCAAATTGCGATCCGCATTTGCCATGTTTGCGCAAGTTGTAACGTGCGCACGCAAATTAAAATAGCGCGGTGTACTTTGCGTGCTTCGCGAGTCCCTCGCGCAAATTTAAACTTACGTGCGCAAGTTTGAACTTGCGCGGGGGACTCAAATTGCGCTCGACACCGCTACTCGACCGTTTGCCATTAAAAACTGCACGTTGCTGCGCGCTGCGATGAAACCGGCAGAAAAATCCGACAATCAAAGGCCGAATTTAAAGCCTCAAAAAGTCCATAATTTTATAATATAACGATTTCTAATGTAAGAAACAATACTTACCAACTTAAATTTCAATCAATATGACCAATTAACAGCAGAACAAAGTGGGAAAACAAACCCACAGCAGATTTCAAACGTCAAACTATCCCTGCCAACAGCGACCCGGAAGATAAATTAGTGCTCGGTGACCTTGGGTTAGTTTGTTCGTTGTTCGTTCGCACAACTCCATAAATTACTCTTAAAAAATTAACACAAACTCTTAGTAGAATATATCCTTAAATACAAATTCTTAGTTAAATTGAAAATGACATAAATATTGATTTGATACGAAAAAAAAATGTCAAGATTTTATGCAATGTTTACATTTAAACGATTTAAATTACCGGCAAGGGTCAGCACGGGAAACCCGACTGCCAACATCCGGTCTCTTTTTTCCAAGATGGGGCCAAAAGCTCGCAAAGAAGGTTCGGAGTTCCCGGGGAAATGATGTTTTGTAGCCGTTATGAGGAACAGAAACGAAAATAATTGAAAGATCTGATTAAAAAACATAGTAAACTATGATGTGGTACTTTATTGTAGTAATTCCATGTGTAGTTTCGGAAAAAAATCGTCACTTTTTCGATGGGCCAGTTACGATCGGTAAACCACTACGTACATGTGTGTAGCCGACTGTACGTGAAACACAAGAGGGCGCTGTTCCCTGGAAATTCTTGAAACGTGTTTTATCCCAAATAACACAAATATTTCTTTTTTTGAGGGAAATAGCTAAGCAGTTTTGTATGTGTACATGCATTAACCATTTTGACATGTTTGGAATGTGTGTCCGTGCATTGGATTGGGCCTGCTTTTAATTTTTCTTGAACTTTTAAAGTGAGAGTTTTCTTCCTTTTTTAATTTTAACACTGTTTAACGTTAGTTTTAAATTGAATCCTACATTAAATTGCAGAATATTGTGGCCCTAGTAGATTTTTTTTAAAGGAAAGTAAAGTCCGAAATATAGGCTAAAGTCTGATTCCCTTTTTATTTTAATCTGTCTTGCATCTTTGCAGCTCTCCGCAAAACGGGCAAGAAGGGGCCGGCACAGGCCGAGCCTGCAGCCAAGGTAGAAGCCAGAGCCAAGCAAGAGGCCAAGTCCAAGGCTAAGGCTGAGGCACTCAAGGTAAGGCCTTCACTATGCACACCAAGCATGAATGAAAGATGGCTCTTTTGTGACAAATGTCAAGAGCCCAAACGGAGCAAGCACTTCATTCTCTTGATTCACGTGTGACTGGACGTGCGACAAACCTTTTCTTCAACTCTGCAACTGATGACATATTTTTCCCCAACCTTTGAATATCCCGTAGGCCAAGAAGGCTGCCCTCCGTGGCAACATCTCCACCCGTAAGAGGAAGGTCCGCAAGCAGGTCACCTTCAGACGACCCAAGACGCTCAAGACGCCCAGGAAGCCCAAATACCCCCGCAAGAGCGTGCCCAGTCGGCCCAAGTAAGTCCACAATGTTGTCCCATGGAACATGCAAATGAACACACCTTTCCACGTGTATGCAGTTTTATCAGTAGACTGAATTGCAGAAGTAGAATTGTATTCATGAGTTAATTCCCCCGTTTTCCTGTGTTTTTAGGCTTGACCAGTTCACCATCATCAAGTACCCCCTGACCACAGAGAGCGCCATGAAGAAGATCGAGGAGAACAACACGTTAGTCTTCATCACGGCACTCAAGGCCAACAAGTTTCAGATCAAGACGGCTGTCAAGAAGCTGTACGACATCGATGTGGCCAAGGTCAACACACTCATCAGGTCAGTTAAAATGAAGATTGTTTGATCAATTAAATTGTTCCTTTTTCATTTACTGTTACGATTAGTGATGTCCACATGGAAGTATCATTAAGGAATAAGCTACTCACCTGTTTTGGAACATCAGTCTTAAAATTATATTCATCTTTTGTGTTCATCCGACTTCAATCTTGCAATTGCAAATATACTTTGCACCGATTCCTCTCTTAACTATTACTGTTTAAAACCCAATCTGTTGGATTTTTTTATCAGTTATGATTCCTTTTAACAACTGACAGAAAAAAAACATGACAAGCTTCAGAATATTTCTCACCTTTTGAGTAAAGAAGCTTTTTCCTCCCTCGATCTTGCAGACCTGATGGGCAGAAGAAGGCGTACGTGAGACTGGCCCCAGACTACGATGCCTTGGACATTGCAAACAAGGTGAGAAGAATATGTAACAATACCATTTCCTCCGTAGAGGAACATCACTCCTGCGATTGTGAGACTTCTCACATATTTTGAAAATGAGAAATGGGCATTTCAAAACTACACTCAGTATTAAAATATGTTTTCAAAGTGACAAATAAACACCTTTCTCCCAGAGACTGGAACTAGAACATTTTTTAAAGCATCTTTTCACCGCTTGTTTCATTCAGTGACAAATTAATGAAAAAATTAGAACCATGTAATTAATTTTAAAACGAGGCATGTTGTAATGTGAGTTAAAAACGTTTGTCAAAATATTGTCAAAAATATTCATACTTTTTCCATTTTTGACAAATGGTGACGGCTGTTAATTTTCCTTTACTTAAAATTTGACTTGCATAAATACTTAGGATTTGTTCTTTTCTTTTCACCCTCTTTTTTTCCAGATTGGCATCATCTAAACTTCTGGAACATGACAGAATCACTAAACTCGACATGAGAAATTGGAAGCCCCAACCTACTGTTCTTTAAAAGTACAAAAAAACACATACAGAAAATAATTCATAAATTTTCCATAGTTGTACAATAAATCCACTCACAAGCAGTGGAAAGGAAAAAAACAGAAGCAATTTTATTTGTCGTGATTAAATGAGTGTTGAGTGATACATGTACATAATTGGTCTTAGCTTCTAATATTCCAGGTTTGAATCCAATGGAGTACAGAAGTGTGACGTCATTTAGAACCAGACAGTGTAGTGCAAACGAATGGAGTACGCGTGCGTGTTGGTTCACGCGCTGAATCACGCGCTAATGTCTTTCACACACATTTTGTGCGCATGACGTATTCACTTCGGTACTCCATTGTAATACCATGGGTGTTGTACAGTACATAATTTTGGGAAGTCCAAACAAAGCACTCGGTGAACTAGGCATTTGTGTGTGTGGGTGGGGGGTGGGAAACACTTTTTTTCTTTCTGAATTTATCAGCAGGAAAACTGTTGCAAATAATTTTTCCAAAGCGCATGGCTATAACAAAACTAGAAATGTGTTTGTGGACAAACACAGCTGTTTCGGATATTTGAAATACTCTGCGCATATGATGAACACTTGATGACGTCACTTTAAATGTTATCTATAACACAGCACATTATACGTACATGTACATATCAAGTTACGTACAGCCAAATCGAACATATAGATATAGACCTTTAATAGAAAAAATGTGCCCCTTTAATGGACGTCACATGACATGTGGTGACGTCACTTCAACTTTCATCTGTAACACATCCCTGTGTATGTGCATACCAAGTTTCCACCCAATCGGAATTGTACTTCAGAAGTTATAGCGATTTGAAAAATGCACGTTTAATATGATGTCACGTGACACATGATGACGTCATCGTTACGAAAATCATCAGGACCATCTTTGGCTGCTGGTCTAAGTGTCTGCCAAGTGTAAAGTCAATCAGACATATGAAAGTGCCAAAGTGTGTGGTTTGAAGAAACACGTGCATGTACACAACCTTTGTTGAAAATGCATCTTTGATGTGACGTAACCTGACACCTGATGACTGTACGATCACGAATTTCTTTTAGTTCCATCTGTGGGTAGTGGTCTAAGTACATGTACATGTATGAAGTCTGAAGTCAATCAGTTTTACGAAAGTGCCCAAAGTGGAGTATTTTAAAATGTGTACAAAACAAATGGGGAAAAATGCTTCTTTAATGTGATGTAACTTGACACCTGATGACTGTACGATCACGAATTTCTTCCTGGAGCCTCTGTTGGTTGTGATGTTAGTATGTAATAAGTCTGAAGTTGATTGGATTTTCGAAAGAGCCCAAAGCGGAGTGTTTTAAAACGTGTACAAAACATATGGGGAAAAGTGCATCTTTAATGTGACGTAACCCGACACCTGATGACGTCACGATCACGAATTTCTTCTACGACCATCTGTGGGTGGTGGTCTAAGTGTGTGCCACGTCTGAGGACCATCAGATTTACGACAGTGCCCAACGTGGAGTGTTTTAAAACGTGTACAAAACATATGGGGAAAAATGCATCTTTAATGTGACGTAACCCGACACCTGATGACGTAACGATCACAAATTTCTTCTAAGACCATCTGTGGGTGGTGGTCTAAGTGTGTGCCAAGTCTGAAATTGATCGCATTTACGAAAATGCAAAAGTGGACTGGTAGAAGAAAAACGTGTACAAAACCTATGGAGAAAAGTGGAAAAATAAGAAAAAAAAACTAGAAATGTGTTTGTGTACAAACTCAAGCTGTTTCGGATATTTGAAATACTCTGTGCACGTGACAAATCAGTGAACAATCAGTGACGTCACTGTAAATGTCATCTATATAACAGCACATTATAATACGTACATGTACATGTCAAGTTAAACCAAATCCAACATTATAGTTCTGTAGATATAGGCCTATAAAAGAATAAAATGCCTCTTTAAGCGACGTCATTTGACATTTGATGATGACGTCACTTCAATTTTCATCTATAAACCATCCCTGTGAATGTGCATACCAAGTTTTAATCCAATCGGACTTGTACTTTCGAAGTTAAAGCGATTCGAAGAAATGCTCATTTAATGTCACGGCACGTGACACATGATGACGCCATCGTTATGAACTCACTGGGGACTACCTTAGGCTGCTGGTCTTACTAGTGTCTGACAAGTGTGAAGTCAATCAGACATACATGTATAGAAGTAAAAAAGTGTATCAGTTTGAAGAAAAATGTATACAAAACCAATATCAAACAATGCATCTTTAATATAATGTAACCTGACACCTCATGATGCCACGATGACGACTTTCTTCTAAGACCATCTGTGGGTGGTAGTCTAAGTGGGTTCCAAGTCTAACATGGATCGCATTTACGAAAGGGCCAAAGTATAGTGTTTTAAAACGTGTACAATTAACTCTATGGGGAAAATGCATCTTTAATGTGACGTAACCTGAAACCTGATGACGTCACGATGACGACTTTCTTCTATGACCATCTATGGGTAGTGGTCTAAGTGTGTACCAAGTATAAAGTCGATCGAATTTACGAAAGTGCCAAAGTGGAGCGTTTTAAAACATGTACTAAACCAGAGGGGAAAATGTGCATCTTTAATGTGAAGTAACGTGACACCTGATGACGTCACGATCACAAGTTTCTTCTAGGACCATATGTGGGTGATGGTCTAAGTGTATATTAAGTGTAACGTCGATTGGATGTACGAAAGTGCCGAAATGGAGCGTTTTAAAATGTGTACAAACCCTATGGGCAAAAATGTATCTTTAATGTGATATAATCTAACATCTGATGACGTCACGGTCACGAATTTCGTCTAGGACCATCTATGGGTGGTGGTCAAAGTATGAATTAAGTCTAAAGTCGATCGTATTTAGGAAGATGCCAAACTGGAGTGTTTTAAAACGTGTACAAAACATATGGGGAAAAATGCATCTTTAATGTGACGTAACCCGACACCTGATGACGTAACAATCACGAATTTCTTCTAGGACCATCTGTGGGTGGTGGTCTAAGTGTGTGCCAAGTCTGAAGTCGATGGCATTTACGAAAATGCCAAAGTGTATGGGTAGAAGAAAAACATGTACAAAACATATGACAAAAAGTGGACAAATAAGAAAAAAAAAAAAAACTAGAAATGTGTTTGTGGACAAACACTGAGCTGTTTCGACCGTTTTATTAATGACTGCCGTAAAAGGAGTTTCATCCAGGTCGAATGAACATGTACATGCGTATTCTATACAAAAAGTGTCTATCCTACGTCCCTGACTATGCATGAAAAAGTTAGCCGGAAATCGGCTGAAACGGTCACTGTGGACAGGATTTGACCTCAGCAACACGTGCGCTGCGCGCGGGCTGACTGACATACGATATGTACAACGTACGTGCATGTACATGTACATTGTGGACTGTGCATGTTTTAAAGCAGAGTTATTGTCAACCTGAAGTTTTAAGCGTGCGCAGGGCATGTCCGAGTTTGCTTATTGCCTCGAAGCTTTGAAATATTTTAGACCTACCCTTAAATAGACAATTATAGTAGAAACTAATATAAAAACTGCCATGGTTGATTTTTCAGGAATTTTTTAAGGAAAAAGGGTTTTTTCATTATAACTTCCGGTCTGATGACGTCATACACCTTAAACTTCGCACACATCTTAAATGGGTCAAGGTCATCATATACACCAATATTTAGGCGATTCCGACAAACTTCGCCACAGACATCTATTCAAAATACATTTTTGAAAAATTTCAACCTGTCGCTAGAGGGCGCTCGAAGATTGCATGACGTCATCGGTAGATGATTTGAAGAATACTATTAGCCAAGAGACTAACACAGTTAAAAGCAAGTTCATATCTATTACCACTTTTAAATAATAAGCCACTTCCGGTTTTGGCCTTTTTCGACCGGAAGCAAGGGTCACGTGATTTTACGCACACTGAATGAAATAAAGACCTCAACCTACTCTACCACTTGCTGGCAACAGAATGCTGCGGACGCGTACGGTTGATTTCTTATGCATTCTTAAATATTAAAATTGTCACAATTTAATTGCCTATAAATAAACACCGGATGACGTCATCATGACGTCATCATTACACAATGTTGTTTGAATTAGAGTCTTTGCTTGGACAAAGATTGGTGTAAATGAATTACTGGCAAAGAGTCGAAAATGCCCTCTGAAAATTGACATTTTTTTTTAAATTTCTGTGTACAAAGTCTATGGGAAAAATTAAATATTCAAAATTCTATAATAAATCACGTGATGACGTCAGCATGACGAAAAGTTTCGGGACACATCTTCAGATGGTGGTCTAAGTGTGTGCCAGGTTTGAAGTCGATCGGATTTGAAAAAAAGCCAAAAGTGACTTGTAGAACGAAAACACGTGTTATCCTATGAGAAAAAAGTCTGAAAAATAAAAGAGAAAAAAAAAAATAACAGAAACAAGAGCTGTTTCGGTGTGTACACCGAAACAGCTAAAAAAAAAAACTAGAAATGTGTTTGTGGACAAACACAAACTGTTTCGGATATTTGAAATACTCTGTGCACGTGACGAACAATCAGTGACGTCACTGTATATGTCATCTATAAAAGCACATTATAATACGTATATCAAGTAAAACCAAATCGAACATTATAGTTCTGTAGATATAGGCCTATAAAAGAATAAAATGCCCCTTTAAGGGACGTCACATGACATTTGATGATGACGTCACTTCAATTTTCATCTATAAACCATCCCTGTGAATGTGCATACCAAGTTTTAATCCAATCAGACTTGTACTTTCGAAGTTATAGCGATTCGAAGAAATGCTCATTTAATGTCACGTCACGTGACACATGATGACGTCATCGTTATGAACTCACTGGGGACCACCTTAGGCTGCTGGTCTTACTTGTGTCTGACAAGTGTAAAGTCAATCAGACATACATGTATAGAAGTGTTCCAAGTCTAACATGAATCGCATTTACGAAAGTGCCAAAGTAGAGTGTTTTAAAACGTGTACAAACCCTATGGGGAAAATGTGCATCTTTAATGTAACGTAACCTGAAACCTTATGATGTCACGATCACGAATTTCTTCTAGGAC